AGGCGTGACCTCTCGAAAAATAAAGTGTTCGCGACTCAGGGCATCACAGCCCCCAGGCGTTGTCGCGAGTGCGAAATCTCGAGAATAAAGTGTTCGCGACTCAGGGCATCACAGCCCCCAGGCGTTGTCGCGAGTGCAAATCTCGAAAATAAAACAAACTGTGCGATTAGACGTTACTTCGTGACAATGTACGTGACGCGAATTGAATAAACATTTTAAATAAACTTATACACGGAACCACAGTAAGGATTCGAGTTGCTTCCTTCCTGACCACTACAAGACAGCGTCCCTCCCGGAAAGTCAGAAGGTTCGTACTCTGACTAAGGTAATGTTTTTCGCAATAAATTTTTCACACGGAGAGAATTTTTTTTTAATTTACCCTGCAAATCATGTTAATTATGGGACAATACAGTATTTAGGTAAATTTTACTGTGCACTACAATAAGATTTCGCAGTAAAATTTATTGTAGTGCACAATAAAATTTACCTAAATACTATATTGTCTCACAATTAACATGATTTTCAGGGTAAATTTAAAAAAAAAATTCTCTCCGTGCACAGTTTCAAAAAACTTGTTCGCATCGAATTGTTAATATTGAAAATCAATTTAATTATGATCTCATTATTCCATCTTCAGCTTATGATTGCAAGTCCGATATTAATTCGGCGCGCAGTTTAAAGGCTGAATAATGGAAGTCTCTTAAAATTTATTTATAATATTCACTTACGCGGTCTAGACTATTATTTATATAATAATTATTTTAATAATCGTAGCTTAAAAACTCTAGAAATAATCAATCATTAATTTTCGAAAGATTAAAAGATTGTTACAGATTTCAAATAATCTGTAGAAAGTTTATTCACGTTTATTTATCAATTTATTCACGATTTAATAACTATTTTTTTAATAACATTTCAATAAATTTTCCTTCAGGTCTGTTTTACTTATTTTGAAGATAAAAAGGTATGTGGATATATCTTATGGAACGCATTAAAGGAGAAGCATCACAGAAGAATAATCAAATATTTACTTTCTTAGAAACTTCTTTCTAAATTTCCAAGAATGGACCAAAAATAATATGCTAAACAAATAACAGAGTGACCAAAAAATAATCAGGCAAATAAAAATGTAATGTTTCAATTATAAACGAAAAAATTAAATGTGTGTTTCAAAGCTTTTTTTTTCTCCAGGTAGAGAAATCATTTTTTTTCTCCTTAATGTACAAGAATCAATACGTTAGTGGCAAAGACTAATGATCTTTAACTACTATATGCGACGGTTATAGTGTTTTCCCGCGAAAAGCAATTCTCCGTAAATATTTTAACAGAATTCATATTTCCTTCCTTTAATGATACGGCCTGCGTAACTAGCGGCGCAATTGCAATTGTCGATACTCTCGATGTCGAGTTATTCTTCGCAGTAGTCATTTCAACCGCTTCCGATAACCACAGTCATTTCCTTCCGTTATCAACGAAAGAAGAATTATGTGGCGACGTTTGTACTGGACCATCGCACTTTCCTGTCTCGTCGAAAGTCAAAGCCGTCTCTCTCAGGTGAACGATCGTTCGGGCGAACACCTTCTCGCGGATATCTTGAGCAAAGTATTACAAACATCGCGAGCTAATGATGCTCTTCTCATACTTCGAGATTCGCTGCTGGACGGGCAAGCGAACGGTATCCTCGGTGAAATAGCCGCGGCGACAGCTCGACGCGTACCGACGCTTTACGTAAACGCGGATCGGATGAAGCCAGAGTTTCAGGTTTCTTCCTGGGCGATGTCACGCGATCTAGTCGTGTATATCTACGTCTCAGGGCGAGGGCCGGATATCGTCGAGGGCGAGCTCGTGGCCGAAGACACGAGGCGCCTCGTCCACGACCGCACCCGGCCCAAGGTACTCGTACTGATGATACTTCATCGACCGTGTCGCGATCTCGCAACGCTGTTCCGAGCGATGTGGTCGAGGAAGATCCTCGACGCGATCGTCGTGGAATACTCGAAATTCGAGTGCTCCGACAAGTGGTCTACGATCGTCCATCGGTACAATCCGTTCAACGACAGCCATCACGAGGAACCATATTCCGCAGGTGTCGCATGGTTCACGGATGACTTCCCAAATATGCAGGGTTATCCATTCGTGTATGCTTTTACCCGTCGGCCTCCGTATAGCGATATCGTATCAACGTCCAACGGACCGGAGCTGAAAGGCGTGGACAAGATCTTGAGTGACGTTCTGGCGGAAAAAATGAACTTTACCGGTGTGCCTAAAGTAATAAAGAAGCCCATATATTTCCAGATAATGCCTAATGGCTCTCAGTATGGCATCCTGCCTGACTTATCCTTCGGAAAGTATGACGCCTTATTGATTTCGCTGCCGATGTACGGAAATTTACACAACTTACGATACGCCGTGCAATTCGCTATACAGTACACCGATCCTCTCTTCCTCGAGAATTGGTGCTTCGTAGTGCCGAAGTTGCTGGCTAAGCAGCAGAATTTCATGGACGGCACTGCGATTAGATTGCTCCTTATGAGTTTCTCGATCGTAGGAATCTTCTGGTTGTGCTCAAGATTGATGAAGTTCGATCCGAGGAGATGGTATTTTCTGAGGATCGTTGGTATCATATTGGCCGCGTCCTTTCCACCGGCACCCACGAAGCGACACGAGCGAATCGTCTTCCTCAGTATTCTCGCTATCTCCGCTTCCTATTCCTCAATATTTTTCGCCGGGCTGACGAGCACCGGTTTCAAGAGCAACCGTTACGTTGAATTTGATCACCTGCAGGATCTGACGAATTCAGATTTGGTGATGGTGATGCAAGAAAATGTGCGGGACATCGTCAGGCTGTACAACAACGTCTTCGAACGTCACATACGCCAATCAGGCAAGAAAGTTTTAAGGATTTCCTCTACGGAAATCTGTCTCATGGATCTGTTAATGCACCAGAACGTCTCCTGCTTCATGGATGAAAATTGGGCTAAACTAGTCGCCATCAACAACATGCGAAACGACGAGACCGTGATGAAGACGACGAAGCTCTGTTATCTGTCGCCACCGGTCGGTAATGTTTTTCCGGAAGGATCGCCTTACGTTAGACGTGTCAGCGATTTATTTCTAATGCTCGCGTCGACAGGCCTTCGCGATAAATGGCATCATGAGTATCTGAGAAACGAGACGAAGAGAACGAAGAAGAAGACGTTCCAAGTGAATCGAGCTCGTGTAAACTTTAAGTACGTCAGCGTATTTTATCCGACGATTTATGTACTCATAACGGGATATTCCATCTCTACTTTCGTTTTCATCGGCGAACTGATTTGGAAACGTTTCAGCAACAATTTAAATCTACGTTCGTTTCAATAATATATGCAATAATTATCCAAATTCGACGAATAAAAAAAAAACAATAAAAGTTGCTACTCAGTTATGATGAGTGAAACTATTGTCAAAAATTTGTCCCTACTTTCATGATCAGAGATCAAACGTTAATTAACATTATTATGCATACGTAATTCGAGAATTGATTCCCTCGAGGCGACATTATCGAATACATGGCGGACATTGTCGCAAATCCGATGACCGTCGCGATACCGCGATGGCGATAATGAGACGCGTACTTTAATCGCGTTTCCGCGCATCGCGGAACGCAATTAATCTTCGTTATTGCAAGCACGTCGACACGTAATCGTTACATACAGCGCTAGATGGACGCGAGCAATTTTGATCAATGTAACAGTTTCCTCAAACGAGCGGAACGCCTCCGACCTGCTCTCTTGCGAGAGCGCGAGCGTATCGTTTACGTGAGTCAGTCTCGCTTAGGTCGAAAAGCGGTCCTCGTTTCGGGAACGAAATCACCGGCCTGAAGAGCGGGCATGCTTCTTGCTTATTTTTTCCTCAAAAACAGCCAATTTCGTGTAATCTTCCTGCGAGAGCGGGGCGTGGCCCCAGACCACAGGGATACTTTGGTAGGCAACTGCGACGTGTGTCATTAACCGAATCCTTCAACCGACCGTGGCCGGTCTCTGCTTCCCCCGTCCCCTCTCTCCTTTTTGAAGTTGAATGAATAAGTTTAGAATTACGAAGGTGCGGTCCTCCCCGGACTGACCGTCAATTAATGATACGCATAGCAATAATCTCTAATATACGTTACGTCTCGATATCCGTTTTGTAAAATTCCGAAGAATCGAAGAATACCGCTAGGCGGTTTGATTGACATATATGTCAATTAATATTGAATACCATAGAGGCATAGAATTAAATGCAGCTCTAACATCACGATTCTTCGGGATTTCTCACACATCTTTCATTGTCATCTCACGTGAGGTCTGAGTGTGACCTAGATGTTCAGTCGTGCTAAAGTACCAGAAGTAAAGTAAAAAGATCATGTCACATGGAAGTATAAGCACTTGGTATCAAAGGCGACTCGAGTATCTCACGATTTTCTCATAAAAATTCTTTCCATTTACAACGTCGTATAGTACTCTAACGTCTTAATTGAACAAGAAATCTCCAAGCATCTCCGCCGGCGCGATTCGAGCGTGCAAGAACGTAACAACCGGGATGCAGGCGTAAGAGCGTTTTAGTACCGCGTTATTAAGCGGCTAATCTATTTTGAAATTAATGTTGGAAAAGAGAGTCGATATTATCGCGGCGAGACCAGTCTGGCCGGTCGCGGCCGATTGTCGACCGGCAGCGAGAGCTCTCCACGAGCTCTCCTACCGTTTGCCGAATGGCGATTAACAGAGTACATCGCATCGATACGAATTCATCTTCGCGCTTTGGCGTTACGCGTGATCGACCGTAAACGCGTCTTCAACTACGAGATAGAGAGGTCCCATCTGCCGACGTCACCCCACCGCCCGACCGGCTGTTCCCGCGCCGCAGAATCACCCTCCACTTCCGCCTGGCTTGGCAGCCACTCCTCTCAGCAGCCTCCGTTGATACTTCCTCTCGCGCGCGTGTATCTCGTCAGTCGGCCTGGAGCCACGTGCGTGTACTCGCTCGAGTGGCTCCCGCACGAGCGGACACATCGAACAGTGTCACTTTGCGCGCGATGAATCGCGCGATCGGGCCATCCTGCCGCGCGCTTCCGATGACAGATGAATGTCTTCGCGCGGCGTTATCGGTGTAGAAGAACGTTCGCATTTCCCCCGATTCATTCGTCTTCATTATCGAAAAATCGACCGATGAGGAGGCTGGCTCTGTGGAGAATCCAGCTGCTAATGGACTAAAAGAGATATCAGCTTGCCGATTACATGTACGCGCGGGATGAAATAATAGACGAGGAACTCGGCAAAAAAACTGACGAGTGGCTGAAAAGCAGCTTTGCTAAGTGTCAAGATGTCGAGGCTGAGATATTAAACTTTTTTCCAAAGTTTTTTCACTTTATCGAGATTCAAGTGTGACACGATATTAATGGGACACGGTCGTTCGTGTGCAACGAATCCAAGATCCAATAGCTCGCGGGAAACGCAATCGCGCGTCGAATGCCGATTCAAAGGAGGCCCGAAATATCTCATCGCGGGTTCATCGATCAAGCTTATACCGGGAGACGCGGCATGATTCCGCCGCCAATACCGACGTACGCGCGGGAGAGTAGTGCTTCGGGGAAGAACAAAGATATCACCGCGAGCCGAGAGAGCAACTAGGTAGCTTTCAAAGGTGAAGACAGACAGTCGGTTGGAGAAGTCGGGAGAACTAAAAATATCAGCCGGTTCCGCGGTTAGAGCCGGGGCGGTGTGCGACCGCCCGGCAGCCCTGCCGCACGTCGTGCTTCACACGCTGGACAATTTTACCGGCTGGAGAGGAGGAGCGATATCTCTTCACGAGACAGGGCTCGCCTTTAATATCGCGAACGGCGATTCGCGGTATAAACAACTATCAGGCACGATCGTCGTTACTACATCGAGCCCGCCGACAGACCGGACATTCACGCGGAACGCGACCACGCCGCGTCTTCACGCGTGATCTACGACGCGAGGCTTCATTTAATATCACTACTCGTCCCCCCCCCCGCCCCCCCCGGACGTTCGTCGTCGTCTGCTGTTGCGGTGCACTCATCGAGGATAACGTCAAAAATAGCAGGTATAAGAATTGAACTGCCAATAAGAGACAGAGGCTATTGACGTCTCCGCGATGTCTATCGATCGAGCTTGATACATCGATAAACTTTTTCACGACTTCGAGCTATTTATTCTTTCACGTTGAAGTACCCGGGGTAAGATCTCTCCCCTGTTAACGCACGTTATTTAGGGAACCGAGGTATATAGCAGCGAAAACTCGCGCGTGTTCTTCAAGGGGTAGAGACGTCAAGCATGATCTTTTGATCTTGTAACGATTTGCACGCGAGAATGGGACGTCAAACGGTTTCGTTGGATACAAACTAGTTAAAATGCATGAAATGTGTATTTTTTTTTGCATCGCTCTCTCGTTCCTCGGCTTGCTTGAACGCCGGCTGGAAGAGATATAAATCATGCCGCGCTATAACAGGAATCCTCGCGGCACGTGTAAAATACGCGGAATATCATTGTTGGAATTATCGCTGAAATTCTATTTATGATTGAAGACATGTTGTAAACTTTCCGTTCTCGTGCAAGAGTGACCTCTTCTAAGTTCTTCAACTTTTCAAATAAAATTAATGTAATTTGATTTGAATAAATTGCCTTAATGGATGCAATCATAGGAACCTCTTCTGCATAACTTCTGAGAAAGTGCGACCCGTAGCTTTCCCCATAATTCTAACGTCCCTATGCTATCAATTCGTCCTAAGCAAGATCTATCTGTACATTGGATTTCAGATCGAGTTTGGACTTAGGGCGCAGTGTCAAGGCCAAGAGCTCATCGCATCTTGTGATGACGGATTCGACGACGGTGGTGCCCGTCGAAGGATCGAGCCTTTAGTCTCTCCCCGGGCTCACCGACGGTATTTCACGGCGCGGTTGTTTGAAATTCTTCGCGTGGAGTTCGCGTCCGTATTTATAGACCCGCGTGTGGCGCGGCGCGTAGGGTCGTGTACGCGCGAGCGCGCCAGCGACACACGCGTTCACGCACGTTCAGCTCGTTTTCCGTCCCGAGGGTGGGTAGGTGTATAGGTAGGTAGGTAGACAGACGTGTGGCATACAGCCGTCAATCCCGAGCCACATCGACGTTCGGGCTCACGGGTTTGCAGGAATCGACCGGCAGCACGTCGCGATCATGACGCGATGCGTCCGCGACAGGAGCACCACCGGCCTACCTCGCCGACGAATCCGTCCCCGTTGCCGTCGAACCGTCTGCGCTCGTCGCCCCGCTGGCTGCGATCCACCAAACCACCACTTCTGGTCATGATCGCCGACGACGTCGCCACAATCTTCCGAGTCCTCGTCGTCCTGCTCGTCCTCGGTTACGCGGTTGCCGCTAACGGTCCGGTAAGTGTCTTGTACACCGCATCGATGGTACCAATAAAAAACGTTGCAAAATTCTTCAAATTTCTATTCTGTATAATTTTTATTCTGGATTACCGTTCATCAATTGTAACAAAAATAAAATGTAAAATTAAGAAGAAATTAAAAAATTCAAGTTTTATATTCTTTTAAATAAATAATGATACACATAAAACATTGAGAGGTAAATATAATTAAACAAATATAATTGCAATGTTATTTGTTGGTACCGCCAATAATTCTTTTATTTTACCACTTTTATAATAGAGAAGTATTGAATCAAAATAACATTTTGAAGCAAATTTTAAATTAATATATTAGGGAAATAGATCATTATTGATGGCAAAAATATGAAATTTATATTATTCATAGGTTGTAACGCAGCTTCTGCAGATTCTTGATGAATTTGAAATCGATTATTTATCAGATTGATTATTTGGGAATATATTTTTGCGAAAGCTAGAAGCCGTGTGGAATTACGTCGTTAACTGAAAACATTCTGGTAACTACTAACTGCAGCGCAGTTGGGCAATAGTTTTCATGATTACGAGGCGTTCGGCCTCTGAGGATGCAGAAGTATCGACCTTGCATCGTATTACGGGAAGCAAGGACTTTTCTGGCCTGTTCGATTATTGATCGTAAAATCGTTTAGTCGGGAAAAACGGGGTATTACACGTATCTTGTACCCAGCTAATACACTGTAATTTTGAATATTTATCGTGTACGAGTTTACTTAATTGGTTTGCCGAATCGTATATCTGGTAATATCTAGCCGGCACAGTAAGTTAATACACACCGTAATTTCAGAAAGCGCGTGTAATCTCGCGCTTCAAATTTGATGTAGAATAAATTGATATTGGCCTGAATAACATAAATTTGCGAAAAATTATACTTATATACTCTCGAGTTCCCGCTACGCTTACATACTGCATACTGCAATCTTATATGTTCGCTATTTATTCACTTACATCTTGATTAATAAACTGAAAACTTCGAATGCACGTAGATAAAAATATTTTAAATTTATTCAACAAAATCAAAACCGAAAAGTTCTGGAAAAGATTTCGCATAAAAAATTAAAATTATTAAGCGTACTTAGCACGAAGAGAATATTCTTATGCCACACTCGTCTCAAACGGACCTGGATTAATGTAGTCTAATTTATCAAACGTAAATTGGTGATTAGTAGGTAAATTAAGGAAGATGAAAAGGTTCAAGAGGTCTAAAGAAACCGATAAAGCATCGTGTCAGCAGGAACCTAGCAATACCAGCGCAATTACCGGCCAAAGCGGAGGAAACCTCGTTTTAGCTAAGCACGTCGGGATAATTACTGTAATTTTGTTTCGTGGCCATTCTTAGGCTGCAATAATCATTTACAGTTTCGAGGTTAATATGCCGACACGTAAACTAGTTCTATCGCTAGCCGGCTGGTAATAACATTACTCGAAATCCTCATTTTAGTGTAATCGCTGCGACGTATAAAAAAAGAGCTACGTCCAGGCGCGGGAACCTCAACGAGGTATTTATATTTCGCAAAACACAAGATTCCGTTACGAGCAAGACTGAAGCAGACACGCTGAAAATTACATGAAACTCTCCGCGTAGGATGAACGTGAGCTAGAGAAAATACATTCCACAAGGGAACGCGGAAGCGCGTGAACTAATGGCAATTGGCAATTAATCTTACATAATGTAGAGCATGCATCGTGTTTATTGCGTATAAAGTTCAAGTATATCTACATATTTTCCTTTTTTTTTTTCTTAACCGAGCAAAGTCGATCCGCAAGGTCGATCGTCGCGGTGTATCGGCAACGCATCACGAAACATATCCAGCGATCGTCTTGAACAGTCGTATCCGATAACTTTGTATCGAAATTTAGCGATGCACGCTCGAGTGCCAAAATTTTCACAGATAAAATGCTCGTCAGTTGTAGCGACGTGGGTTATATTTGGCCGGACGAATGCCACTCCGGCCACTTTCGATGCACGTACGTACCGCACATGACGTTACCGTGCGTGGATGATACCACGTCGTAATCGGGCATCCGCGAAATCGCTGCCTGTCAGGGTTATCGTGCCAGACACGGTCGGTCGTGCCAAATGATCCGCCAGCTAGCACAATCGATACCAGATTGTGTCCGTATCCTTCGACTAGGACGGAAAGAGGGAAAGAATAGGAAGGTCGATGCATTCCTACGCGCGTGGACGACAGATAGAGAAAACGGATAAGCGTGTATCCGAGTCCTCTTATCAGCGTACGTCGAACTAATAAGGCAATTTATGACACAATCGGCGTCAAGATTGACGCTACGCCAGATACTCCGTAGACGTTGGAGGAGAGCAACGCGCCGTTCCATCCTCGATGTTCCGCGTCAACTTGTCAACCGTAAATTCGAGTTTGTTGAAAATAATTGAACGACGGATATATTTGTTTCTCTGTAGTTTATCCGGCGGCGATATCACGATCGCGCGGTATTTGGAACACCGCGATCGCGGTGTGTTTTTACAGGCGGTCTCTCCATTTTACCGAGCGAAGGTCTGTTTATTGCTATGTCGAGTGGAACTGACGTTTGCGAGCTGGTGGGTAGGAAGTCTGCAGTCGAGGAAACTTGACTGCATCGTCCTTTCAGCTCCGTTTACTAACATGCCCCGTCAGGTAAATATCGCCGATAGGTTGGACGCTTTCTTTAGATGTCGTTAAGTGTCTTGACATGTAGTTCCTTTTCCAGCTGAGTTTAAATGTAATATCATCGGTTGCTAAATTACAATATTTATCCCTCATATTTACGAAGATATTTGTGTATTTTTCTCATACTAATCATCATCCGCGTGTACATTATGCAACTTCGCTTGATGTCTTGTCGGGTTTCGCGACGCCGGAGAGGCGACTCGTATCAATACAGTGACAGCATAATCACGCCTGCGTAATAAATTCCTCCTTTCTACTACAGAAAAGCAAAACAACCTCTTCTGTACACTCCTTGGCACCCCATGAAGAGCTCCTTGCATTCTACCGAGGAAGCTCTAAAGCTGAAGAAGCGTCTTTCGCATCCCGCGAAGAGTTGAATCAACCGCAACGCCGATTTTCCAATTAACAGCCGCTTCGCGGCGTTACAGCGAGCGTGTGTAGCCGGACGTTCGCGAAGGAGACGTTGCATCAATCGCTGAACATCTCCTGACTTTCTAACCGCGTAGGTATCACTCGTCGACGGTTGACCTCGGCCCTGTTGCATGTACCACGGGCACCCCGCGGTGAAACTTCCTGTCGTGTTATCCTCGGAGATGGCTCGCGTAGTCCCCGTTATTACAACGCCGAAAGGCCTCTGCCGGGGCATTCCAGCAGCCATTTCCACTTTCCCGAAGAAGTAGCCTCTCCGCCGGACATTACCGCGAAACTCTGGCGCGAATATGCCACGGCGGAACGGAAGCTCGTCGATTTTCTAAACGATTTCTCTATCGCTACGTGGAGAATCATCAATCATTCTACCGAGAGAACGTTGACTCGCACGAAATATTGCCACTATTAATATCGTTCCGCGTTTAATCGAGAAAGAATGTTATTTTATTATTTAAATCGATGGATTGTGGATCTTTTAACAAAATTTATATTGTACTTATATTAGCATGAAATGTATTTGTGTCTGATTAGTAGAATCTTATATCATTATTACGTTATTTTTTATTTTAATTTTAAAAGATTGTAGAGTCGATTCGCACCAGCCTGCCCGCGTTAAATTCATCGCGTTCGGCAATGAATTGCCATTTTTCGACAGCAGCAAATGTTTCAAATGCCGTGTCCTAAGGAGACGTGTGCTCGTTAAGAGGAAAAAAAAAAGAAAGAAAGAAGCAAGGAAAAAAGAGCGAAGTCCATGCGCCGCGAGTTAAATCGCCTAATGGAGAAGCCGGCCCTTCTTTCGCTTCATTAAGTTACGCAAAAAAACGGTACTGGTACCGCGTGCTTTTCACCGGCGCAAGAACAGCCGGGAAAGACTGGAACGTCTCGTTGGCACCCCGTGGAGAATCCTCTCTCTCTCCTGCGGGACCCTCCGGATCACTCGGCAGCTCCTTCTGGCGGATCCAGCTCGATTAGCTTCTTACTGTGTATCGTGACGACTACCGCGTGGAATTTCAGCCCGTTGTCGGGCAGGAAGTATGTGAGTCTCGCGGCTGATAAAAAGTTGCCGTCATCGGGGAAAGAAACGATGGTACCACGCGGGATTGACGGGAAGGAGGTGCGAGGGGGCGGGTATCTCGGGAGAGGACGAAGAGAACGTAAAGGAGGACGACGAGAATGTCGCGTACGGTTCCCTTCAGCAGCGTCCTGAGACTTGCAACCGCTTTCGAGATGCGTTCGTTTCTCTCTCTTTTCTCTCTCTCTCTCTCTCTCTCTCTCTCTCTTTTCCTTTTTCTTTCTCTCGTAAGATTCTCGTCGCCCGTTAGGGGCCTGTCTCTCCTCCGTTCCATCCACCCCCATCCGCCTGTCGTTCCTCATCTTCTTCCTCGTGGTTTCTTTGGCCAAGACGTTTCACGTCGTCTGTGCCAAGACCGGCGATTCCATTGTCTCGTCGCCGTTGTACACGAGGAAAGCGGTCGTCAGTGGAACGAACGATTAGAATTCAGCGATCGGCTGGGAGTTCAATGCGTGATTGTCGAGGCCCCGATCACCGGCATTCGATACACACGATGGCTCATGACACGAATTACTGCCTCACGTTTGATTCGCCGATAAGGGACACATGACTCGCTTAAGCGAAGCTCCGTCGCACGTATATACGTTTGAATGGAATATTTGCTTAATTTAATGGCATTCGTGTGCCTGTGAAAAAGAATAAAATTCAAAAAATGATAGATTTCTAAATTATTGTTTCACACAATTTCGTATATATTTATAATATTTCAGATAATAAATCTTTCGTATTATATAAATCAAGGTACCCTTCATAATAGAAAATATTGAAATTTTTATCATCTCCAATTATCCTGTT